CCAGCAAAACTTTCACGTACTTCGCTGCCAAAATCAGCTGCATCACTATTAATACCCACACCTATTGACCTGACTGAATCATGCTGATCATCTTCAAGGCAAACATCGTCAAGATGTGATTTTCGATGGACATTTACGCCTTTCTTATTACCCAGCATGAGAAGCTCATTTGTCTGAGCTACAAACCCCTGCCAAACAGGCTCATCACGCATCGAATTGAGCACTTCCTCATCCATCAAATGCCCATCATATTGGACTATCAAATCATTTTTCTTGGTAGCTGGATAGATTTCTGAGACCGTAAGTCTTCGGTCATTTTCTGAAGAAATAGGTTCAGCATCTTTTGCTTGCAGATACTGTTCACCAGATAAATAAGAAGCCTCCTCTGCATAAGACTGATCATCCTCTTCTTTGGCTGCATCTCTTCCATGGTGATCCGGACTACTGCGGGTCGTTCCTTTCTCATGATCACTTGGATAATCAATTTCATGGGCAAGAAACCATGTTTCATCCTCAATAGGTTGTCTGACATAACCAATGTCGTCATCATCCTCATATTCGTCAGAGTCCCAGTATTCGTTACGGTAGTCAACAGATTCACTTAAACCATCACCGATGGTAGCAAAGCCAGAAACAAGATCTGAGGCATCCTCTGCTATTCCCTGACTTACTGAAAGCCAGTTTCCCCCAGCAGACTTTTTTCCACCTGTATGAGATCAATGGGAGATTAAAGCTTATATTCACACCTTAACTAAATTGATATGGTTAATGTCAAAGTAACAAAATTAGAAAGAAAAGCATCATGGTCTTCAAGAACTCAAAACAAAGAGCAGAGTAGAATTATAAGATGGCAAAACAATGAGAGAAACATTTGCAGATACTTTAACGTGAAAAAGCAAAACCATTATCTGTTACTTGCTTTCTTTGGTATTGATGCCAGTAACTTCACGATGCATTGTTCTAATGCATGAGATCATCAAAATTAAACACGTTATGTCTAGAGTTTCATGGGCAAAAATGCAACTAGAAACAATGCGACAACCATGAGTGAGGAAAATGCACGTTTCTAGAAGTTCATCTCGAAGAGTGAAATCATGAACAAGAGCCCTCATGCACTATCATTTAAACTAACTATCATTCAGTAGTCAGAATGGAAACTTTGCAGCTGTATATTGCCATGTAATCTAACCTGATGAGCTGATTTCTTGTCCGATGGGAACATCAAGGTATGAACCAATGAGAAGGGCATCCTCATCATTGACTAGCCTTGGACCTGAACCATCACGCTCAAATTTTTCTTCACAGTAAAGACTCATAGGATTGTCTTCAGACTTGAGCTTAACAGGAGGCAGCCTAGGAAACTCTTCCTTCCGAGTATCATAGACAAGCGGAAACCCTAAGCTACTAATATTCTTT